GTTTGTCTTCTCTTGTATGATTATCATGTCAGAGACACACAACGCTCCTGTTATTAAAGACTCTTTCTGCATAAACTGCCCTTCTGAGTTAAGCTGCAGCCAACGAAAGAAAGCACAGTTAGCAGTCTTTTTGTTTACTCATATACGACGCTCTTTTTCATCCGACTTTCATTCATTAAGTAGCATTTGTGCACAGCTGTTCAAGCAGCATGCAGATTGTATAAATTTCAAAATTTCTCTCGTAAACATGTCTAAGGGGACATGGATTAACTGGATTTTGTTGGTAACATCTGATGAACTTTGGTGCAATTGGTATTTGCATGATTTTTACATTCTGGATTATCTCTCTTTTTGTTGTGATGACGTTCAATCAAATTTACGATTTCCTCGCGTCACTGGTTGGTAAACTGCCTAGTCGACTTCTACGTATTTAGAAAAAGGGCGTTGACAACTTGCATACAAGTACGCACACCTAAAATTTAAAAAATACGTTCGACAAGCAAGAGAATGGGTTGCGCCCTGGTTATCCCTGTCTCAAGTTTGCCGCCAGATTTGTCGGTGAAAAATTGTCGTACCTTTACACGAAACGATCTTAACAATTCGGTGTAAACCAACAACCAATAAAGATTATTGGCGCGAAGCCATTTCACCGTCAGAATAAATTAGCTCTCATGTAAAACTTGAAGTACTTTTTGTAACGCGTATTGCAGTGCTCTGCTGTGGGGTGCTTTGCTCTCTGCGCTAAACCAGATTCAGAACCAAGCACAATGTTTCTAAACTATCCCAAGCATGAAACAGCAGCAGAATGCTAAAATATAGTTGATTTCAGTTCATCTACGAAAAGCAACGAAAAAGTATTCTTTTCCCTTGGAAAGACATGGTCTTTCGTATGAGATGGTCTGAGGTTCTGTCCTTTGGGATATGAATATGCAACTATAATGCAGACTTTTTCTCCTTCCTTTTTATTTAAAATGAAATAGATGTCGATTTTGCAGGACACAAAAACACCACGGTGTATTTGCACAAGGGTATGAGTTCAGTGCCGTTGCGGATGCGTCATTCCCCAGAAATTCGAGTAAAAACAAATTTGAGTCTGTGTAAGAGGCATTACACCGTCTGTTGGGATTAGACCCAAGTAGTACTGCCGGCCCTCCTGCTTCAGTTTATGTTGAATGCAAGGTGAAGTCAAAACTCAGCTACAACAAAAGTACTAAACACGTGCAACAACCAAAGACTGTGCATATCTGCACCTCGAGTATATCATCAAGGCTGCACGTAAATGCCACATATTTTGCACCCTTTATTGATTGGGGTGTTTTCCTGATTGTCATATGGCGCCATTATTTTCAATTGGACGTATTTTGAAAACGACAAAAGCATGTGGATGCTTTCCCCAAGAAGTCAAAAACGTCAACAACAAAATCAAAAACCTGCGTTAAATCAAAGAAAAGTAACATCAAGTTTATAATCATATCCATGAAATATATCTGAAATAGATTTCATCGATAAATCATGATTATAAATTTAGAAAAAAAATTGTGACATAATATCCACATAAACATATTTTATGAAAATGAACCGCGTACTATTTCTAATCTATGCGAGCAATTTGATATGGGATTTTCTATTTTCATTGACAAACTTACAAGCCAATTTTTAACGGCACACAATCGTTCTTCAATAAGGTAATCATGTCATAATCGATTTATTTGTCTTGATCGTGAAACATAGCACCTGTCACGCCTCATAATGTCACGCCTCGCGAAGCGGCGATGCTACCACTTCCGTATTTTCTGAAACAGGAGGCTACGTACATGTACATCCCTCTACATCAAGCATTTTGTCAGGTAAAATATTAAGTGGATCCGGAAACAACATCGTGTACTGCTCTAAATTCCCTTTACCTGTCTACGTGGACAAACCCCTTCTGCGAGCCTTTGCGCAAGAGTTTGGCCATTCCTTTATTGATCTTGGACAAAACATGTGTTCCTATCAACGATTTATCCCCTCAGCTGATTTAGGCTTAAATACACAAAATACCACAATCCTGTTACAAGAGCGTAAAACTAAAGGAATAGGCGCCATACAGGGTGGCCTGAAGTTTTATACAGGGAAATGAGCCCGCAAATATGGAATTTTCTGTTTACAATAAGCAAAAACAGCTGCTCCTCAAAAAGTAGAACAAGTAAGGGCTAGGTATTCTTAAAGTGTAGCTGCAATACAATTTTTTTCTCAATAAAAACTTCCAGAATGAGCGTTTGTGTCCCAGTTAACCTTGTTTTCAATTTCTGTCACACTATTTTCAAGGGTGTTTTGCTGCCTCTTTGATTTTTAGGCTAATGAGAGTTTTCATCTTCAAAAACCAAAACTGTGAGGTCATCTCGGGAAGAGAACCTTAATGCTGCATTGGCGTGTGCACAAAAAAGTGCTAAATTGTGCGAAATTTTGCTGGCCTACATTTTATTTTCTTTATAGTGATTTATTGTCGAGTATAGGTACAAATAACAATTACGCAACCTTTTTTTCAGAAATGTTTTCAGCTGTCCAGAATGGGGCATTTTTAAGGTTTAAAACTGGTGCACTTCCCTATGAATTTCACTTAAAATTGATGTAAAATAATTTCCATACGTTAAAAAACAGTGTAAACTTAAAGAAAAGGTGTGTCTAGGAAAATTCATTGATGATACCCTTTAAAAACTACTATGGTTTATTTCATGATACCACTATATTTAACACAAACCGCTGCAAGCATTGTGGTAAGTATTGTACGGAGGCACTGCTCTGTCAGAACACAAAAATGTGCTTTCGACCATTTTAAAGAACCCCTAGGGAATGTCTGGTAAAATTCCTTAATCTGTTTACATTAAGTTAATTATGACACTGGCTTGAGGTTTCGTCTTTCCGTTTCCTTCACAGAGTGGCATAAATGTATTTACAAGGAATCAAAATAACAAATAAAATTGCATTTTAAATCATGCCACTGGACGACGTGTATCCTTGGCTAGCTCAAGGGTGGATCCAAGATTTTTGCTGGGTGAGTGGTCGGGGTTGAGAAGTTTTTGTTGATACAGGGGGATTGCTGCATGCAGTTCTTGCCTTTGGAGAAAACCATTTACTTTCATTGTTCTGTCCTCGAACTGGACACGCAAAATAAGACCCCTACGTGGTGCATTTTTCTGAGGTCCAAATTTTAGACGTAGGCCCCTAAAAAGTTGATACATGAAATGAGCGAGGGAGGGCTGACACCCCATTCCCTGATTCGCCTGCAGCTATCGTGCTAAAACCATCTAGCTATTCGGGTGGAGAAATATTTCGCCAGACAATATTATACCAAATGACGAACCTCCATTAAATCGCGACCAAGTGTTCAGCCAAAGTTTAATTAGAGTGTCTAACAGAAACTTAACAAGAATGAAACAATTACAGCTGGGGCAGTGCGCGCTTTAGAAAATCACATTCCCGCGTAGTTAAATTGAAGACGTGTTGGAGGTTGACCGTAGTTTACTATTCTATCTACAACATCGATAAATGATGAAGAAACAGCTGGCATTCAACGGGATAAGCAGCATGGTGCGTGTACTCTATTAACTCTACGGGCAAACAGTTTCCCTTTGATGGGAGACTGGATACGGCAACAGGGGTATGCGTGCGGTTGTCAGATGAATTTGAATATACTCCAGTTGATACAAAAGTACCGCAATTTACCTCATCGATAGTTTGTAGCTGCCAAGTAATCGTGTATCATTTTGATTAGGTACTTTGACAAGCGTTTAGAGCGCATTTAATTTAACGTTCAAATACCAATGACTCTATTGTTGGAGGTACCAGGCATGAAGAAAATACCCCCAAAACGTTGTAAATGCACTGAGGAAAATACGAAGGCATGCATGAAGGTTACCTTTTATTTTAATATATGGAGAAAGTAAATATAAACGGGAAATAATACACCAACAAGACAATTTATTACAGTGCTCTGCCATGATAAAAGGAGGTAAAAAACTCCAGGTTAGTGCATTTTAGTCAGCGCATGCATGCTGGCCATAAATTCGTCGTGCACGACTGAACAGCGTGCAGCCGAAAGGCACGTTGTGCAGGGAATTTTATCGCCTGAAATTGGACGGGAACCCGACAAGCAAGATTTGGTGCGGCGGTTCTCATGAAAAGAGCACTTGAAGTTGATTAAGTGTTTTGCTGGGGGTACCGTTAGGACGGACGGCGGTTTCATCACAAATAGGCTGCCGTGGGGATATTGCTTTCCGGGTAGGTCTGGTTCCCCTGTGAAAGGGGATTTTGTATGGTCCGAAATGGAGTAGGAATTTAAGCGGAATGTTCAATTAAATACAAGACATTAAAGGTGGCTTATGGTGCAATGCTTGCGGTTAAGATCATTATCAGGGGCTACACTGCTTTGACGACTTATATTATCAAATATAATTTGGGATTTGTACAAATTTGAACATATTAATTCAAAACCAACATGATCATCAGGCACCTATTCTGTGCTGCTTGAATTTTCGAATGACGCGAATGTATACTGAAGACAGTTTTTTAAAATGTCAGTAACATTCCAACACTGTGAAGTTAAGAATAAACTATAATAACTATAGCCAAACAAAAATACAGAATGCATTGGTTTCTTTCAGAGAGAACATTATCCTCAGTGAGCTTCCCAAGGTTATACTTTTCGAGACCATCACCAGTTATGACTTGGAAGTGATTATGTGAATACCCTCCTAAAGAGTTCATTTAAATTTCCGATAGGACCTCCGTATGATCCATCCATGTCTTTGTATCCCCCATTACGGTTCTTATCGCATGCGCGTTTAATAGGATTTTACAATGGTCATAAAGGTACGCGTTTCAATCTACATACAACTTATGTTTGAGAAAGAAGCAACACGGTGTTTTGCACTGACATGAAACGATGAAATCCGGCGAGTAAAATTCCAGCGGCCTCCAAGCAGTTCGAATACATGTGATAATAAGACAGCTAAACTTACCTTTTAAGCTGGTACTTGTAATCTTTGATAAGAATTAATACGTGCTGTAATGATGTCCATAACGTTTACAAGTCCTCTGCCTTGCGTACATGTCGGCTCGCTGGTCATATCGAAACTACCTTCGCGCGTTATAACCACAGGCGTCCATCTACACGGGAATATCAATTCATTTCATCCATCTGCGTGCCGAGTCGTTCTCCCGCCCCTATTCATCTTGTCCTGACACACGCCGGCTGCATTTCCCCGGCCAGTTCTGACAGCATACGGACAACCTGCACAGAGTGGGGAGAAAAAAAACTGCGATCGGGTGATTGATATTCCTCCCGTAAGCCAACCTGCAACAGCCAGGGACGCCGAGTCGAAATTACTGGCATGAGCCCCTATTCCTTCTCAACGTGTCGGACTGTCTAACCGAAAATATCCAAAAATACATGGAGACCAAGTTTCTTTCCTCAGCGGGTCCATTCGCGAATCGGTTAAATGTGGAGAATGGCAGACAACAGCTGGGCGACAGACATTTCCATGCAGTAGACAAATTGAATCTGAAAGCACCAGAAAGTAATTACGCCGCTTTGTAAGTTTCTAGGTCGACAAGGAGATTCTTCATATGTATCTCCATAGTGTAAAATGCAGCCATGAGCAAGAGTTGATTAAAAGGGAAAGGTTTACAGGGAAGTGTTTCTAAGGGCTCTTTTCCTTGATTGTGATGGGTTGAGTGTTGAGGGACGGAGATCTGGGATGACGGATATATAGTTTGAGACGGATGACCACAGTGACAGTGATGAAAATATACACGCATGGCGCTCATGGACATCGTGAGTATAACCAACTATACGATGACGATGATATGCGAAGATAAATAGGAGGCAGTGGACTGACAGTGGTGAGGATTATGGTAGTGTTTTCATCCCTGTACAATAGGCACACCACGATCTGACAGCGTTGTGGGAACTGATTTAGATGTATAAGTCATTTGTGTACAGAAAAAACCCTTAACCCCCTTTAAAACTTAAATGTAGGCATTTACTAATTAATAAGGATGGACTAACGACGGGATGGGAACATACATAGCGGTAAAGCCACACACGTAATTTCACTAATCTTCGATTCCATTTCTTGGAGGTTTTGAATTCAAACCCTATTCTGGATATTATGACTCTTTATACTGCACCGCACAAAGGAACTGCACCGCACAAAGAAGATTATCCGTCGGTTCTTGACTCGTCATAAACGCACGTAAACGCACAGTCACCTATTTTGACATTTTTTAACCCCAAGTTTCCTTTGTGCCGAAGTCACCCTGTCTCCCCAAACGTCATCTGAATAATTTATGAGTGTCGACAGCGCATACTAAACTCACTCCAGCGGTCTTTGGGGAGAACGATGAGGAAAATCCGAAAAAAAATTTCGCTCGACTTGCGTGCCGATGGCACAATCCTTCGAAGGATTTACAAGTTCCATGTTTTGAACGGGGAAATAACGAGAGAATACTGTGGCAGAGATATCATGATAATTCTCGACCTCATCCACAAAAGGTTGGACCAATTATAAAAAACGTTATAAATCGCAAGGAAAGCGTTGCGGTTACTGCAGAAAGCTCTTTCGGCGCCAAGTCACTTGAGATCGCATATACCTGTTACTTTGAGAGCTGCAATATTAGGCTCAATGATTTCCTATTCCTAAAAAACCTTTTAGGATATATTTGAACCTCAAGGAACGCATTACTACGTTCGAGATACTCTACTTTAATTATTAAAAGTTATGTATTACGGACTGCTAATCGTATACAAATGAAAAAAAAAAGTTGTTTCTCAGATTGGTTTCAGTAGTGGACTTAGAGGTCGATATAAAGAAAATGCTGAAAACGTCATACAGCACAATAAGCCCTATAGGGATCTGAATAGAATACTTTGGTGCGATGAGTCTCCATCTTTCGAAACTAAACCAAATTATCGGCTCCGAAGTTCGATTACAAGCGCATACCTTAAACATACTCGTAGAAATACACGTACAACACTACCCTGGCACTGGAAAACAGATAAGCACAGATATTACACAGAGAACGAATGACAGACGGGCGCTGGTGCAATTCTTGTATGGGAAATGAAGCGTTTTGGTCAAGGATTTATACCCCGCCATCGGTTAAAAGAAATACGTAAAAAGAGTGTAAATTATCTCTGTAGTATCCTCAAAATCTTTTATGACTATACAACACAGAGGAAGCAACTCAAAGAGCCAGATGAAATAATCTGTACATTATCTTGGACCATCGAACACGCTGCGCATGCAGTCTTGAACAAAAATAACATGCCGCAAGGCTTTTAGCCACCAGAGGCCACGTGAATGTCTAAGTGGTGAGCGGAACAAAGAAACGTGATTTGTTTTTGAGAGAGTTCTTGCCGACTCCGAAATGTGCAGTGAAATTCCATAATTTACATGTAATAGTAATCGCAAGTTTAACATTGAATGGGGGCTATGCGGCACCATATTGAGGTGTCACACTGCAATGGCAACCGCAGCATGCCGTCCCGATCAACGTTCCCTGTAAACAATGTCAACTATAGTGTACCAGTATATCCATTACTGCCACAGTGGCATTCACCACTACCACGTTTAAATTATACAGTTGGCTTTTCTACAGAATGTTGAAATCGGAGGATAATAATGATAACGAGATTTTTATAGCGCCATTTCATCCGAATCATGACGCTGTGCAACACGTGATAATGAAACTATACTGGAAAAAACATGCTTTCAACGTGTTTCCTTAATGATAAGATTGTGTCCTGTGACCTAATGCTTGATGGTATTGTGTTCCAGAGCTTTGGACCAGCAATTATGAAGGCTTTATCCGTCGAGGTGTTTCTAGATCTTGGGACTGAGAAGACCTTGGCGTCATAACTGGATCGAAGACAAGGAGAGAAAACATTGAGGTGTATGAGGCTGTGAAAGTATTGAGGAGCTGTGCGATGAAGACATTTAAAGACGAGAAGAGCCATCTTGAATAAGATTCTATTCTGGATGGGAAGCCAGTTAAGTTTGGTAAGTAATGCCGAAACTGTTGTACGCCGATCCGCGTCGAATATAATGCGAGCGGCCTGGTTTTGTAGCCGTTGAAGCCTATCAAGCTTCGACTCTGTGATGCTATTTAGTAAAGAGTTACCATAATCCAAATGGGACAGAACCAATGCACGGACCACGTGGTGACAAGTTTCGAAATCCAGAAATCGGCGAATTCGTGAAATGTTACAAAATTGGAAATGGATGCTGCGATTGAGGTTTAGAACGTGAGTTGACATTGATGTGAATTAATTAAAAAAAAACACCCCAGATTACGGACTGATTGCGATGGTGAGATGATATTGTCCCCTGTTTTCAGAGTGATAGGAGGTAAGTTGCGGAGACTGTGTTTGGAGACCACTACCAGGAATTCAGTCTTTGAGTAGTTGAGTTTCAGGATTTGGGACTGTTAGGGTTATAAAGAGCAGCGACCATTTTTCAGTTTCCCTCGCCGTTTCATAATGCTTTATCCAGCTGGTTTAGAAAATGCACGGTGAAATTCCTTGAAGCCAAATAATTTTTCAACATGAAAACTGCCATTTCTTTCTTAAATCTTGAAAAGGTAGTTTCAATCACAAGTATTTATTCACATCAAAGTATAATTTCCCATTCTAATAATCCACTTTTTTGTCATATGTTTTATATTAAGCTCAGCACGATAAACGGAATTCATATCCTCCTCTTAGGACTACACTGTAATACTTCAATGCTCATCGCTATGGTATATTTATAGGTTGACGCAGGTGCACACGTGAAGGCTTGCCAGTTAATGATGTATCACGGCGACATGGAATCTGATGCTAGTGTTCCCCCTTTGAGCAAACAAGACGAGAGCGTCCAGCCAACCTAGTCGGCATTGTTAGAGAAGTTAGTTTATAGGCGATGCAAAATTCGCGTCAACCCAACTGACCCGCTGCAAGGGCATTGCCCGACAGTGGTTGATTTGCTATAAAGTAGTGCAACCTAAATGATGAAATTTTTTCCAAGGAAAGAGTTTACAGCTATGATTTATCGAAAAAAGCAAAGTCACGTTAAAAGCCTATTACACAGAAACCAGGAGGCATTGCTTTCATGAATTACAAATCACGAAAGAAAAGTTGTTTGCACCTACTTGAATGTCAGTACTTTCACCGAAATGAGCCAATTTCCTTTCTCGGAGGGGATGAGGTGCTGATGTAAGTCCATTCGTTTACCACTTAGTTGTTCGAAAGTTTCTTAATTGGAAAATAGATCACAGTTAAACGACGGATAGTTCAATAGTTAGAAACCAAAGAAAGTGAAGTTCATTAATCTAAATTGACAGCAAGGTTCCTTTGTGCTGAAGGACAAAGTAAAATATTTAAGGGAGGTACATGCGAAGCTCGGACCAGTGAACCTTGGGTTCTGTTCGATATAATGAGCCTCCGGACTCTCAAACCTTCAATATAATCGCAGTCTAAATTTGAGCTACTGACCCTTCAGCAAAATGGACCTTCGGACTATTGAACGTTTACTGAGTGAACCTTATTTCAGCATCTCTCATTAGCTAGCGACGGCAGGAATATAACCCCACGTACACTTAGTAAATCTGATTGCCTTTAATCTATTGCCATTTGACATACCCAATATATAGGCTGCCGATCTTCCGAAGTACCCAACAATGGGACAGAAACTTACCAAATAATTCATGGGTCAAAGTAAGCTGAGCAAGTTACTGAACCTAGTGTTCAAAAGGAAACCTGTTTGTTCTCATGCAAGAAAAGCCCAGATTTCATAGCTAAAATCTTTTCATACAGAAAGAACGTGTCTGTTTCAAAACACCGCGTGCTCCCTTCTTTACCAACGCATAGCTGATAAAGTCGTTCCGCTAGGATATCAATCAGCAATTGCGATAATATTCTATGCTGTTAGCAATGGGAGCCTGGTTTCTCTTGAAAATTGTCAATTTGTCATGCAAAATTTTTTCGTGCATATTGTATGAAAAAAGTTCTGAATAAAGATTAAAGGAATCATGAAAATCGATGGACGGCTCCTTGTGCCTTCTTATTGGAGTTCAACAGTCTTTACCATGACTTCCTCCTCTGTGGAAAATTGGGAGGCTCAGAAGCTTGTCTGTCACTAAATGGCTTTTGTCTGAAGACTGGGAACCTATGGACTTGACAAATGGCTCCCCGTTAGCACTTTTCATTTGACAACTAAAGGATCCGGATATTGTGTTTCAGGCGAACTGGTTTCCAATAAGAGACTGTTACTTCACATCGGCTCGAGCTTAGAGATAATTAAAAGGACTGACGCTATGGCCTGGCTTCGCTGACAATGTGTCTAAAATTAACGATGACAACAAAAAAATTCCTGAACGGATTGCAGATGCTAAAAGATCTCCATGGTGACAAATCAAGCCGGGAGATCTCAAAGCTTATTTTTTTCCCGTTTATTTTGTAGGTTTGGCTGTTAAGTGATATCTTAGTGCATGGTATACTGCAAGGAAAACGGTTCTTCGTTCCTGTATCACTGAGCTGGCCAATCTAAAAATTCGACGAGTCTGTACTATCAGGAAGTTCACACAAGCAAACTATTGTAGTGACGGTCGGCGATGGATTGACTTCCGTTCAGCTGAGCACATGAAGTCATTTTGGGTAAAGGGGATGGAGTGTCGCGCCTGTTACTACCGTTCAGTATAATGTGCAGCTGCTGTGGAAACAATACCATGAAATTTTGTGACAAACTTCGAACGAAATTCCATCACCTCGATAATGAAGGTCTTTCCATTGGCATGAGGCCTACGGTGACCGATCCCTACGTAATCAACGATCACCTCGAATATGTTCGATATTAATTAGTGTCCGGTTTGAAGCTCAGTCACTGAAATACCAGACAGCAGCTGCAGTGGGATTGCGCATTTGTTTCCGTTGAGGCGATTAAATTTTGCAGCACGGCATTCGGGTGGCTGTTCCGTCCCAAGGTAAACTTAATAGTGCGTGTCAGAGCAATTCATCAGTCGGTAAATAATAAAGGTTCGACGTCCAGAGGAAAACGCCTTATACGAAAGCTCCGGGGAATATTGATTTAGACAGGACCTCGGGCAATATCCTGTTTGACAAGTTAATAGAAACAGACAAGGACTGCACTGCCTTTAAATGTTTTATCCTTCATTTTTTTGCTTTCAGCGTGCTTAGAAAAAAAAAGAGACAGCTCGGAGATTTCACCTCAACTGACTTTGGTGAACCTGAAAGTCCTAAAAGTATGGATTGAGTTGGTATTTAAAAGTAATGACATTACAATGTGCTCTTTCATAAACATTTTGGTTTTAAAATACCTGAATAAACCTTTTCTTGAGAAAAACAGTCGAAAAATTGTTTAATGACCTGCAACTTAGCAGCGGAATTTTTGAAACCAAGCCCACAGCGCGTGAAAAGCACGTGCAATTATACATTCATGAGGTCGAGGAAGATGCCAGTGACACGAAGTCCAGGCTTTTTGCCCTGCATCGAAGGATATACCACCGCCAGCAGGTCTCCGTCACGGTCTGCTTGTACACCAAACAACCTACCCCGAAAGTGCCGTACTTTGGACCAAATGCCTTTACATTTGACTGATGCTTGGATCCTTAATGGCCACGGGATGTTCAACAATCTTTGAGACCTTTGATTTGAAGCGTAAGGTCTGATCGTGACGCAGCTTTTTAATATAGAGGCAGAAAACGTACCATTACTACCATTGGACGGGGCTACCCGTTTACTGTTGTAAATCCTAGTTCTCAACTTTGTACAATGCACGCTATTTTCTTAACATATTTCTGTATTCATTAAATCTAACAGTGCAGCCCATCTTCCTGTATGGGCCTTCATCAACCCATCGATGCACTGAGCATTATAATTTTTCAATCTAAAAACGAGATATAAACGGTACTATTCAAAAAGACTGCAAAAAATAAGTATTATCACGATAACATACAATTAAAGTTGCTGAACGTCTAATAGCCTTGGTATAATGTATAACAACATAGGGGACGCAGTGTGTTTGGCACTCCTGCAATAGATTGCGAGGTCTTGCGCTCTATATTAGGCATGCATCTAGCACGTTGTCTCTGTTAGTAGAATCTAAATTAAGAGTAGAATCCCATGTCTGAATGTTATACTACCAGTCTAAGGCGCCAGTATAAACACTGCCAGCTAGTATTACCGCATTGATAATTAGAAGCCTGAGTAAGATATACTTCAGACTGTAGTCTGGATCAGCAGCGACACTGGGTGCCAAACGTCTCCTTGTCTCCGAGCCAGGTTTGATAAAATGCTCCTGACACCACAACACGAATATGTCAGAATTGATATGCCTTTGCTTGCCAAAAATCCTTACCGTCTGCCATTCTATTGTCCCATTACCTTTATTACACTGCATACGTAGCTTGATAAGGATGTTTATTATTTCTGTGTTAAAATCACACAAACGGTTAAATTCATTACGAGGTTTGTAACATTTGAGTCTTTATGGTTTCAGGGTATTGGGAGATGAAATCGACGCGCATATATTTTCTGCGGCGTTTTAGAATTCAACAATAAAAACACAGGGTGTCCCTGTCGTGCACAGTCTAAAGTGGCTGTTCAGATATCAACGATCCTGATGAAGAATCATGATTTAATCACGAGACTTGTAGAGTGCGAGCAACCTTGCTCCACGATAAGGCTTCACGTGACCTCTCGGTTGCACTCTGCGATACCAGCATGATGACGGCTACAGGCACGTGGCCCATTACAAGGAAGTCATGGGCGCCTGGCAAGTAATTAGAAGAGAGGTAGGGACATGATAAGACGCCTTCATCAACTTCGACTTCAGCCGGCTTAAATCAATCCAAACTGCTTTTCACACAGAGAGTGCGTCCGTTACATTGTCAGTTTGAACGTATTTTTCCACCGATAATTGCGTGTCTGATGTTATTCTTGTTTCGTGCGCAGTACGGCGATTTTCAGGAATAATGATTAAAACCTACCAACAGGACATACATGTAGCCTACAGGAGAGATTCACAGCACTGATAAAAACAACACAAAATAAAGTGTTGCATGCATTAAGTAAATTGTGAGGACTGAAAAAATAACAGTTTTATTAAAAAAAAATTATTAAACACTAACCTTGAAGTGAAGTTCACATTCCGTGGTTCTTATTTGGAGCTCCTAACTTCAAAAAGTAGACCTGTTGTAACATGGTTGCATGCACAGCGGCCTTCAATAATGAACAGTATAGGGTGCTGTCACGAATCGATACAGAAGACTGTCGCAAGATTACTCGTTTAACGATCATTCTAGAAAAAAACATTTCAGAACAAAGATATTAAATGTTCCTGACAGGTTTTGCAAAACCAATAACAAAGGAAGACCCCTATGCCACTGTTTGCTATCATGAACAGGTTGTTGATTGTCATTAGTTTCACAAAGCAGGCCGTAAGCCTTTTTGGTTACGAAACCCACATGATTGTTGCTGAAGTAACCAAATGGTCAATTCAATTCAAAATACTTTATTTTCCTTAAAAAGGCAATTACATTATCTTTGGACAGCTAATTAAAAACACTAACTAAATTACTAACAAATTAATGACAAGCGATTTATTATATCAAAACAAATAGCATCTATTTTCTTGATTAAAATGGTGTAAAAATGTGATACCTTATACCGTACATAAAAGGTTTGGACAATGAATGTAACAGTAACATAAAATAAATGTAAAATGGCTTGTAAGATTTAAAACAACAAATATGGACCTAAAATTGCCTACCAATGCCTAAAAAGAGCATAGATTAGGCTTAAAACATAGGCCTTTTTGATATCAGAATGTAAGTACTTGAAGTGCTTTGTTTGGTTTTTAATTCATGCATTGGATTTTAATTCATGCAATATAAACCGTTCAAATGACAGCGGAGGAGACAGCACCCTAGGAAGTCATCTATGACAGGTTAATAACGCTGGATATGAAAGACTGATAAATCAGTTTAAAAGGCTCTGGTGGCATAGAAGATTCTGTCCCCTGCTCGTATACGTTCCCAGCCTGGGTACTATGAGCCCATCCATTTTCCCTGTTTTGGTTGATATTGTTGTTGGTTTGCTTATGTTGTTGAAGGACGCCATTCAGGGCTTGAGCGTCCAGAATATTATCTTGGACACCGCTGGAATGCCCAATCTGATGTCTTGAGCTTCCTAGGGCTGCTGCATGCGTTTTATTTCTCTACCCGAAACCACACAACAACGACACCAAAATGTTACACACAATATCAATATATTTTTTTTGAATGTTCACTACAAGTTAAGTTCATTGCAAACTACTCTATGGTGCAAGATATCGGGTGGAGAGAACCCCGGGCCCGCCTTTGTGTTGGCCATTGTTTGATCGGAATCTCAGGAATTATTTACAGACTTCCAGGGGGGATGTCTTAGGTAACAATAGTCCAGAGTGTGTATAGGGACTGGACATGTGTGGGGGTACCCATCAGCCTTATATCGTGCACGGTATCCAAACTACAGGTGTGAAGAACCAAGCGGCGAGAAACATTGTACACTTCATGGCATGTTACGGTTTCGTTGATCACAGCATACCAGCACGTCAAATACTATCCTTGTCTCTCGTCTTCACTGTTTGCAAAGAGTCCCTTATCAAACCAAACATAAACGAACCGAACCAAGGCAGTAAAGAAAACTCCATAAGTTCTGCCCTAATCTACGAAGTTATAATGTCAATGATGTAAGAGTCTCAGTGCCAATGGGCACGCCATAAACTCAACAGTGTTAAAGGAATCTGTTGTGCGCTATATAGGCAGCAAAGTCCTCATTCCAAGTATCCTCGGTGTGAAAGTGTGTATTTTGAACGAGGGCTTTTCAGATTTGTTTGGGTACTTTGAATATGCTGTCCCCTCTGCACTTACAAAACGCTAGGCAAGATGTCTTATTGCAGCTGTAACTGCACTGGAGGCAGTTGCTTTTCCTCAACACATTGACAGGATTTGGTGTCAAACTGTGGGGCTCCTCCTTCCCAGGAACAAAGGTTTTGCTGACCCATCATGCGTGGCTGCAGCCCATCATCTTTAACCTCCGTGACCCGCTTCTCCTTTTCCGGTGTTTTTGGGATCGATTGATTGGCTCTCCCCCATAAACGACCAGTTGCATAAGCAGCTCTCCAATTGATGGAGGCAGCCACACGAACAAAGACTGGGATGGAAGATATACCTTGGAAGCCGTAAACTGTCAGGTTAAACTTGACTTTAACATCTTTTTGTGTGTGTTACCTCTGATGGTGCTGAGCTCAATACCCCCAATACCACATTTACACCACTCTCCTGATTTTGCAGTATACTGGTCCCACTTTACCACTGCCGAAGAAGCTACATTATAAATCACAACGGTAAGCCACGCCAATCGTTTCGTCCAATGGCCTCGGAGAGAAGGTTCAAGTCCATTAATGCAGCTTAAATTCCATCAAAGTGCACTTTTAGCTCTAAATGATGGGTTCATTGTGAGAAACGATAGCATAAAGCCACGAGGATGAAGATAGTGTCTGTGTTGTTTGCCAGGACAGTGCAGTCTTGAATGCCACGCCTGACTCCGTTCATAATGACTGTAGACAACCTGGCGTTAGCCGGCCTCCAGATGGAAGAGTGAAAGCATACTAATGACATTCAACAGGGTCTCAGATCAGTGATGTGTGAAGATCTGAAAAGGAAGCGTTTGCTCATGATCTGATCCAGACATTTTTTCGTTTCATTTACTCACCAGAAAGTCTCAAAAATTCCTACAGGTGGCCCATCAAGCAATGTCATAACAGTTCCCAAGCTGCTGTTCGTTTGGGTCTTCACTGTGAGGGGATAGAATTCTACATAATGTGCCTCCACGCCGACGAAAACAACTTGAGTACAAGTTCTAACCCTTACGACTCTGTCACAGAACCCTGGACACTTTTTTCAGGTTTTCGCTCTGTACTGCAAGAGATTCATTATCATGCTCAGACCCACAAGAAACTGTGACTGCGTGGACAGTGGAGGTTGAGGCTGGTCATAGGCAACACTGTGACTGAAGAGAGTCCTGCTGCTGCCCCAGTGATGGGAGGTTGAGACGCGATTCTAAGAAGGGTGCTCGATTTTGGGCTTGAAAAACGTTACCATCGTTTATGAAAGCTGGCGGCACGTTTGCTCACATTCTATAGCTTCGACAATGTTATTTCTGCAATAGGCAACCACCGTTTTGAAGTTCTGAGTAGGTAAAAAGTATGCATTGGATGGTATTGACGTCTTTTGAGGTGCTGATGGTGTTAACAAATGAGATATTTCTTTTAGATTACTCCGATTTCAAGTCAACCTCCGACACGTCTAGTCGCTCTTGAAGGGAATTCCGGTAAAGCTTTTGACCTTCAGCCTCCATTGTCCCGAGAATTTTATTTCTTTGCCCATCAGCTGATGTACCTCAAGTATTCTGGCACATTGCCAAAGATGTCGACTCCATCGTCTCCACAACCTATTCAACACCAAACTTGAAATTCAGATTAGAAGTTTTATTCACCTAATTAAGCCTTTAATAAATCAGATGCCCAACAAGCCTTTTGAGTTAATTTTGTATAAAATCTAGTACATCTGATTGTGCATAAACATAACAATTCATTTGAGTTCTCTATTTAAAGAAGCTGTTGCTATAATTCGTGATCCGGGGCAAAATTTTACATAGTGACCATGCACCATCTTTGGAATAGACTCGTCCGTTTGTGCCCTTCTTATAAATTGAAAACATTGTATTGGTGCAAGGCTTTTCTTATGTAACTGGGCTAAAGTTGCCCCGAATCATGAGGTAAGCACCAGTGCCTTTAGTATGGAGAATTGAATTTGTGTTCACTTGAATTTAAAGAACTCAATGTACCAGATTTTATTCAAATTTAACTCGCAAAAGGCTGAGCAGTCTGCTGGAATCGTTCCCAGTCCTGATCCTGGCATAATTTTTGACCATTTTGAACATACTTAGTCTAAATGCACATCATGGTCTGTTGATGCTGCGAGCTCCTACTATGCAGCACAGAATAAGTTGTCCCACAGCTTCTTCGTGGAATGCTTGCCTGCACATCGAAAAGTCTCTTGACATTTCCTGCAGAGGGCCGACAGAAACTGACATTTTCCTGCCCAAGGAAGTGCAGGTGACAATACAAAAAGGAATAGCACAAGGAGTCGCAGGCACATCTCATAATGCGATGATTTTTTTTTTAATTCGCAGTTTATGGAATCAGGTTGGATTTCTGTTTGCATTCAGATCAAAGCACAAGTCTTTTCAGTGTCGTGTGGACATAATTTAGATTGAATTTCTCTATGAAAATAGAGCGAGAGAGAGTTTATGGGATTTCTCATAGCTGCCAAACCTACGTACACCTGTGCGGCCTTTGGAAATAATTAATTTGTTCAATGAGTGGACTTAGGCGGTGAAATGCATGTGGTTTTGCGAAAGAATATACAGACGCATACAAAAACATAATTTCCTCGAATTTGTGGTGAAAGTATGAGATAAATTACATGAAGGAGGCAAATCCTAGACATAATGCGACTACGCAGTATAAGGTGCAGCTGTAATAAGAGTAAACTATTTTGATTTCTTTGGGAAAACTCCATTAAATTCAATGTCCTACAGGGAAAATGATTACTAACAGCATTATGTAGTATTACTGCGGAGGCTGAAAACAGTTGTGGGTGGTCTCAGTAACATCCTCGGGGAGGTAACAATATCTTTGTGCACCTTACTGGGTCATGCACAGACAGTTGAATGACCGAAAGGCAACATTAATTTCAACCTGTGACACCTGAGCCGCCTGGTGTCAGGAATGTTTCAGATTGTATTTCTTCAGGAAACAGTATTCCAGTTTTAAAAAAATGGCACTCCAGACACCGGTAACTATCAGCTAGCTGTAATTTATTTGGATGCCGTAGTGAGCCTATTGATTGTTTGGCAGAAAAATAACACGGGAGCACTGTAAAGGGCTAGCATAATTGGTGAAACGTTCAACTCTTTTTTGTAGTTAAGACCATCGGATATCACGTAATATTACCGAAACACGAGTGCACTTTTTATATTTTCCCTTACAAACTTGGATTTGTTTTTGTTGTGATGTCATTTGGGAAGAAGCTGCGCATCTGGGTTTTTCTGCTCAAATTTGGAACCCAGAATTTACAAAAAATAATTGTGAGAAAATCTTGCTTCAAACATCATAATCGCTAAAGAGAAATTTTAAGACAGCAAGATATCCTAACTTGGGGCACATTGTCGTTAAGTTTTACCTACAAGGAAAGCTAAAGGAGCCCTTTCAATCGTGACATAAAAACCTCCTAATTATTTTTTTCTTAAACGAGAAATGAGACTTAAAGCGAAAACAAGTGACCTAGATAGATATTTTATCCAATTTAATTTCAGGTTTTGTCTTTGATGAATGCTAACGCTCTCCCATAGAGAAAAATACCAAACACCGCCTCCATCATCGAGATTTGGCACAAGTTGAAGGTCTCTCTAGATGACAAACAAGTTTCGTGTTTCATTTCAGAAAATTCTTGTTATTTCCAACATCTCCATTCGGCAGTAGATCTAGCATAGCTTCAGTCTTAATGAATAATATCATCATGATCTCAGACCTGTCCATACAGGTCTTTTCTTATGGGTTCATCAACTCGGCTTCAAATAACAAGGCTCCTCAAACAAAGCTGTCCCTTGTGTCTTGGATATCAAAGGAACTTGCGATCCGGCACATCAGCGATGATCACATAGAAACAATGTCGACACAGAGTGTATGTTTTTTTAATTACGACGAATGGCCTTGGCTTAAAGTTAAGGCATGCGCATTACCGGTAATCTTTCCTACAGATACGAGCAGGTATTAGAACTGGCAACGGATGAAACAGGAAACGCGCTGTCTAGCTCAGATCATGGATAGATAATGCAAGTACTGATAACACAGTAGTAGTATAAAAGGAGGCAGCGGTTGCAGAGAGCTAAGATCTCACAAATTGCGTTGAGAGTATTGTGCCACCGTGACCGTGAATACAATAATTGTATTTTTCCGATTCTTATCTGCTGGCCCATTACACTGTACAAGCATATACCTTTTTATTTGGACAACCCGTACCATTATTCACCCTTTTTGCACTGTATACCAACCCAAGGACGGAATGCAAACAATTCGGCTCTGTGGAGTATGCTCCATACCATTTAATGCACTTAACTGCAGGGTTTTCACACTCTTGGAAATTAATGAATCGTGGATGGTTTTTATTGGTCTGAGAAGTGGCACTGCCTTTTCCGCGTCCCAATGACGCAAGCTTTTAAAACATTTCCGTTTTTTTCCCACTGCAATGCTGTGATGTTTTGACCTTTTCATTTTCGAACAGCATCTCAATTGCACAACGGTTTTAACGCTCAGGATGTTTCCTGTTCCTTAATGCTTGCAATATTTACAGCACAGTTGTATTTTTGCTTATATTAAGTGGCCGGTGAAGCAATGGCTGACAATCAGCACAAAAGCAAAAGAATAGTTCGCGAAATACTAGAAAAACCACACTCAAGTACCAAAACATCAATCAATAAACATTACATATACTATACTAAACATTGATTGAAGCACAATCTTCTCAAAGAGAATGGTGGAAATGTGTGGTTTGGTAAACTGACTGGTAAAATGTACTGACGGTCTGTAAACAGTATATGGGAAATTAAGCTTTATTTTGAATATGAAGGTGACCGGATGAGATAAAATTTGTATTTCTTCAGAGCCCCTGCCAGTGCATGATGACATAGCCGGTACACTATTTGAAATATTAATGCGCACCAGGAGCCAATAGCGCTGAATGAAGCTGTCAGGCGAGTTTTCAAATTTCACAATGGATGAAACAATTGGATTATATCATTTAGCCAAGATTGCTACTTATTAATATAGAGCAAATATTGATTTCCTCATTGTAACTATTACTAGTTACCAATATTTATCACCACTTTAGGCGTTGTAATAATTGCTAGAGAAGTCCTCACCACCGGATATAAAGCAAAGCTAAAACTACCGTGCTGCTCCCGCTGATCAGTTACCCTCGTTTACTCTTCTCACTTTGTGTAGGCCTATGCCCTGTCGTCTACGCCAGGTGCGAGATCTCCTCGTTTTCAATCGATTACCACTCACGCGGGAGAATGTGATCTCCACATTTTGATCAGGGCAGGCCTCTTGCACAAAAGGGTTGACAAAATCGATATTTTAAGGGCCGAGTTTCACCGGCGTGTGGGCGTCATTTCGGGATTAGATTTCTGGTCTATGCAGGAATTGGAATCTTGGGGGTATACTCCGGTTTACAGAAGCAAGATGTTACTCATATCCTTGATGTATGTTGATATCTATGATTATAACTGTATATAAAAGACTTCATTCCGAGTCTGCTTGCTATTACTTGTGTTGTATGTCCAATACTTCGACATCTGAGAAACAGGGAAATATGAAGGCTTAGTGATGGGAGAGATCACCCGCGCCCTAAAAAGATAACAAGTGCACAATGGTCGACTGCTTCAATCGTATAAGTTATTTCAAATGTATAACCCACATTATTATGCTTGTTATACCTATGACCAAGAACAATCACGTGACAGGGCCATAAAAGGCATTTTACCTCACTGTTGGATATAGCACATCAAACGGAGTCAAATAATAAGATTCAGAGTTGATAATACATTGTAGCAAACTCAGCAAAGTAACATACGACACGATTAGCTGTTGGAGCTCTACAATTTCTTCGTTAAGTATGCTAAGCTTGAAGACAAATGCAGTTTGTCCTCTAATATTATGGTTTTAAAATGTAGAGATGTTGCTTTCGACCAAAACACGCGTGCGACCAATACAAGTAAGCGATATAACGGACCGACACGTTCGTCGTTTCGATGAAATTGGCGACAATTCAGGAGAGCAAACTGTACAGAATTTAAGACAGAGGTATAACAAAACAATTGTTAACTGCTGTGATGTTGGGTATGAT